TTAAGAAAAATTCTTAGAAATTTTTACCTGGGAAAAAACCACTAACAGTGGCAGAGAGAGAATGTAAGTTAAAAAATTATTCAACAACATATAAACGTATCCTTAAAGTATAATTTAAAGAATAACGATACTTAATAGCATTTCAAATATAAGTAATATATTTTTCAAGAAAATAATCGCACGATGTTTTTAGAACAGTATACGATGTGATAATGCACGACACATAATCTCCGTTGCGATATTGACGAAAATAACGATATGTAGCATTGAAGAAACCAAGCGGGAAGTACCGAGGCGCGACATCGATACTTGGATAGTATCGTAATATCATTAACACCCCTGGTAGACAGCGTAAGCGCTGTGAGCGTTAGCGGTGCAGCGTGTTGCATAGTAGGACCGTGCGCGTGTTACCGCCGTAAATCTCGTGGGAGCGTCATTACGGCCGCCGTTCGAGCGTATTGTGCGTCGATTTTCGCGATCGGCCGCCGATATCGCCGGATAAATTTCACTTTGCGCCGCGGGGAGGCCGAGCGACGCCGCGCGCGCCGGCTTCAAGTAGTAATACACTGTGAAAGCGTTGCCCTCCGATTCCAATAAAGTAGAGGCGAGCTGAGAGGCGAGCTAAGGCCGCTTTGTCGGCTCCGTAATTAGCAGAAATATTTATCGCGTCCTAGCTGCGAAAGTAACAAAATATCCCAGGATCGGACGTGGGTTCTTCATTGCCACAAATAAACTATAAATTTTGGATCATAATAAAATCTTTTCTTGGTTTTCAGATTGGGCTGGTCTTAATTATCTAAATTTAAGTAAGTGATCTAAATAAATGATGACAAAGAGAAAAGATAATTTACGATTTGAAATAATTAAATCTGAAACAGTTAAAGCTGAAATGTAATAATTGATTTAAATTTAATTTTTTTTAAATCGCCCTTTAGATTGTTAAAAATTAACATTCTTACACCGTGTCACGGATCTTGCTCGTTAGAGTCGGCCCTGAGCTCAGAATATGTTGAATCGCGATTGAATCGAAACGACGATTACGTCGTCTCGTGTCAAGTGTCGGAGGGTTCAAAGCGGCAACTCGCCGCTTTATTGATAATTAATCTAATCTCTCTTTGCGCTGCAAGACACGGCGACGCGGAGGTGCATTCTCCGAAGCGTTCGCTTTTGCATTAAAGCCTTTCCTCGCGGCGGTACGGCGACGATGATTCAAGGAGAGAGAAGAAAACGAGTGGAGCCCGTGGAGTAAGAGCGTGTTTTACGCCGTCCATCGATTAGACTCGCTCTTGTCACGCGTATTATCTTATCGCGAGCGTTACGACTTTGTTAGCCGCGTTTGATATAAACAACTCCGCGATCGCAACTCGCCTAATCGCATACGAGATAATCGTGAATCGCCATACCGATAATTCTACTAGCAGGAATTTGTAATACGAGATATTTGTATAAGAGAGCTCTTGCATCAAGTTTAGCGATAAATAATTACCCGTCGAATAACTTTTATCTTTGTCCTTGGTTAATAGTCATTGAGAGCGATTAAACGAAGTTAACAAAATGTAATATTATTTTTTACCAGAGATCCTTGATAATTTTTTGTTTAGCGGAAAATCCATGAAGTTTTTATTTTTCATGCAAAATTTCCGTAATTTTTCATTCTACCTATATATTTATGATAGTAATTAGCCAATCGCATAAAATTTTTAATTACCAATCCATAACATTTACATTAACTTTTTTATCCATGAAAAGTTTATATAAAATTTTTACTTATGATTGTAACTTTGTGTTTTTACTTTTTATACGTTGTCTGTCCATTTGAGTTCCGCTTGCACTACTCAAAATCGTAATGTACTTTATGACGCCCTCCAGAAGTAAATTCTGGACGACGCATTTGCGGAACTTTGGCTCGCACGCTCGCGGATGACTTCCTGCATGATTCAGAATGACTCGACGGCGATGCGTTCCGCGATCTCCTGTGGTCCGCGATAAGATAGCGCGTTTAACAAAGCTGAATCTAATCGATAGCCGACGTAAACTGTGCAATTCTATACCATCACCATGTGCCACACGTGTGTGTGTTTCGTTCTCCCTCGACGGGCGGTTGCCCGTAAATGGCGCAATGCGAAACCGCACGTTGCCGCCAGCACGTTCACTTATCACGGAAGCGAATTCGCAGCGCGCGAGAAGACGGGAGAATTTTTTTCTTAAATTTATATGCAATCATATTCTTTTTTTATTCTGCGGAACAGTTAGCCGCGAGTTCGCGCGCCGCGGATTTTCTGTTCGCGTCACTTTAATACGAGCCAGCGCGTGTCTTTAATCACCGTAGCATTGCAGACTTTCCGTACAATTAGCTACAAAATATAGTTGGAATTCTTTACTTTTATCTAGTTGTCTAGTTATCTCTCTCTAATCTTTGTTTTTTTCTCTATACACTTTACTTGAAACTATTTGTATAGGTACTGAAATTTATAGGTTATACATATTTATTGAATTTATTAATTTTCATTGTAAATAAAATATTTAACTATTATATGCTTATTGTTTTCTACGAATTTATTTAGCTTACAAGTCACATTCTGCAATCATATCTAAATAAAGAGAAAAATTGAAAAAAATTAAGCGAGCGAAAATATTTATATATACGTGTGGGACAGCTGCAAATAGATAATGGGTAAGAGAAAAAAAATTACATCCTGGTAAATATTTCGCGAGACTCACGGTAGATTCTATTGCGAGCTTTCAGGGAAGTTACCGCCACCCGTACCAGACTGAGCTTCGCCTCGCAAGCGCCGAAAGCTCGTATTGATCGCCGTTAGCCCATTTCGTATCAAGTTCAAGAGCAAAGTCGAAGTTACCTCAAAGGACAGACTCCTTTTCTTACCGGTGTGATATTCACGATATTCTTCTTTAATATTTTCTCACCTTTTTTTGTATCTCTTCGACCTTGCTCTTTGTAAGTCATTTAGTATACAAGCGCTAATTGTCGAATCTTGCTATCAAAATCGTTAAAGAAAATATTATTTCGCCATTCTTTTCACTTCAATATGTGACATCGTGATTCATTTCCGGCGATAAGCGCACGTTTATGAAACCTTGAACGACATGTCGTTTTTTTTATCTCGAAACCACGTTGGATTATTGCCAGTTTTGTCCCTATTTTCTGCCCCATATTTTCACTTCTGTCGGAAGCTTTCACTTTCAATTTAGATCCAGTATTTTCGGATTTAGGTATATCGAGATTTTTATCGCCGGTTTATATAAAAGAAATAAATTTTCGTATTTAAGAAATATATATGATTTCTTTATTAATATTAAATGCTTTATCATTTTAGCTTTGCGTAATTATTCAATTATTAACCTACATTTTTTTTAATAACGCGAATAAAATCGCGTTTATCATTTTGTTATTATTGTGCTAAGCATTTTTAATACTCATCTAGTATTTATAAATCTTCTATTTTCAGTTATAATATTTCTATTAATAGATTGTTTTCTGATATAATTAGCAGATTTATATTCTGTGGTTATCACACAGTGAATTATGAATGAAGACTATTCCTCGGATTATAAAACTAATTTCCAAGTATCGTTATATTCAGAATGACGTGTATTTCGGGAAGGTATGATTCAGTTGGAACTTTCTTCGAGTTGTCCAAAGTTACCGCGTATTCTATATTTGCGCACACGTCACTCGCACGTATGATATTCACACAATCGTTTATTCGAAAATAGAAGTGAGGTATAATATCAAGAATGTGTACATAACGATACTTTTTGTATGATCTCAAATTCGCTCATAATGAAAGTACTATATCGATGAAATAATAAGAGCCCTGTACAGTCAGTAACTTGTGAGTCAAATTTCATTTCGCTAAAAATAACTGATATTGGAACCATTGAGTAAATATACGAGGCGAATCCTCATCAGATGTCGAGTGTTCTTCCCATCAATTTTTTTATCGCTGTTTCGAATCCTTTCCGCCGTCTGCGCTAACGACCTTCGATCTCGTCGTGCGATTTATTTACGAGTCGAAAGAAAGAGTTACTATTTGTCCGGGAAGAACGCGAGAGGAATCCGCTCGCGCCTTCGCATAGGAGCACCATAAATGGCGTTGAGCTCTCGTCGAGACTCCGTGTCCAGTTATTACGTACAATTAGCCTGAGATGCTGTCGGGAGAGCGGGCTGCCGGAGCCGCGCAAGGTCTGCCTGCGGTCTGACGCTTAGCTAATCATTGTTTGCCGAGCGCGAATTAAACAGAGAGAGAAAGGAAAACAAAGAAGGACGGGTGGGAGGGGGGAAGGGGAGCGGCGAAGAAATGGCTTATAGAAATTTAATACCGGGATCGGCCGCACTTCGGGGCCGGTCAGTAATTATAGGTGACCGCGTGTGACGCAGGTGAGCATAATCTCATTTCTGAGCTGGGACATTCGATATGCGCGAATCGAGGATACAAATATAGAACATACAGCTGATCATTGAGCCGATCAGTTAACATTGGCTAACAATACTAGGAGAGCGCGACCGCTGGAAAGGGTGAAGTGACCTCGAGGGAGCCGTAAAGGATTTTGGATTCTTGTGAAACATCGAATCCAAATATCAGCGTGAAAGTTATTGCTAACGTTTAAAGCTGCGATTTCCGAATAAATTTATTTTTCTTATTTTTCTGATATTTTAATGCTTGTACCAGAATATAATAGTATATCCTTGTTAATAATTTATTTTGCAGTGATAATATCATTTATTCATAGCAATATCCTTATTAGATTAATTCCATAGTCGATATATTTATTTGCTCGTTTACTTGATAATTATTAATGCATAACTTTTTGTCAAACTCGTTTTATTCTTTCGGGACAAAAGCTGGCAATCATGCTGGTAAGATAATTCCGGATGGATGATTTCTTCCGCAGTCGTGCACAGGTCACCTAAATTTAGACGAGAACCATGTACCACGTCAAATCAATACGTCAATAATCAAGCCCCGCACGGAAGGGAGATCAAAGAAAATTTTGGGGGTGCGCGCCCCAGTAACCTCAGCAGAAATCCTTCGGGGATCCTGAGACGTCGACATCTCGCATGGACTTTTCTGTCGCGGCACATGTAGGTTACTCCAATAAAGTGCATTTCAAGTGCTTCTAAACGTCGCACAATTACCCCGAAGCACTACGCTGATGTCAGACGTATCGACCGGAAGTCGCGAATTCCGTTAAACACACGATAATCGTAGAAATAGTTAACTGTATAAAGTTGGCCTCTCCATTACTAAAAATCGATTAACGACCGTTATCACTCGATTGGTGGTCGTTTGGTAGTACGAGTATTTGTCCACTTCCGATGAATGATAGTCAATGTTGTATGTACATAAATAACAATATGAAAAAAAGAAATACGAGCGTGAAGTTAGCCCCTCCTTGCACAAAATATGGTTTTCCAAATTGCGTAAGTAATCATAACTATAAGTATTCGTTTGGTAGTCTATTGCCGATGAATAGTAGTCAAAGTTGTAAGTTCACGCCCGTATAATGTCTTTTTTTCATATTATTATTTATAATTTTGATTATCAATCATCGAGATCGGCTACCAAACGTCAATAAACACCAAACGAATAATTATATAGTTATGATTATTTACGCAGTCATCTGGAAAGTCATATTTTGCGAAAGCAAAGGCTAACTTGCGTATATATTTTTTTGCATATTGTTATTTACAACTTGACTACCATTGAAAATCTACTAACAACCATTACTACTCGATTGATAATCGTTTGGTATAGTATTTAGTAGTCCATTATTTATACATACATACATACATACATATATATATATATATATATATATATATATATATGTATAATATTCTGAGCTAATTATATATTCAAATCCTAAAAATGAAAATACGTAAAAATACTGTAGAATATTTCTGTAGATTTTTACTTCTACGAATTATTTTTTACGAATCGAGATATGCAAGATTTACTTGTTGAAAATTGAAGCTTATGTTTTGCGCAATAAATCCGACAGGTACGTTTTAAATTTAAGTTTAATCTTCTGAGCTCAGAACATAATTTAAAATCTGCATTTTTAATTACGTAATTAGTAAAGATTAAATCCAAAAATTACGTGAAATTGTAGCAAATTGCAGACTAACTTCGTAGATTCATTTTATCACCACCGCTGCACCGATTTAATTGCATTTTTGCCCCGATGTAATAAGGCCGGCAGACTCGGCAACAGACCGGAATGCAAAAGCATAGCGCGATCGCTGCATAAAGGGCGTGACGAGCCGTTCTCGTGAAGCGGCGCGACGGGACGACTTCGTCGAAACGTGCGTTCCTGCGGGGCTTTTCAATTACCGTAAACGTTTACGGAATCACACGTCCCGAGAATCACGAAAATAAACTATCGGGAGGGGACGAAAAAGCACAGCGTGGTCGTCGGTCGCCGTAGTCGTGGATGGAACAGCTGAGAGCTCTGCGGGACGTCGTCTCTCCGCGCGTATTGATTGCCGGGACGCCGGCGCGGCTCGACGCCGGGACGCCCGCCGTAAAAGCTGCGCCTTCAAAGCGCCGCAATTCCCCGGAATTCACCTGCCGCGCACGTGTGCGTACGCGCGTGTGTGCACCGCACGTTCATGTGTGTGTGTGTGTGTGTGTGTGTGTGTGTTTGTGTGTGCGTTAGAAGAATCGCCGCTCCAACTTGCCGGGGAATGCCCACCGGCGGAGCCATATAGCGCGCCTTTTTTCGCTTCTTCCTTTCACGCGCGCGACGCGCGCGTTTATGTTCACGCGACGTCGTGAGAGATCTGGTGCTCGGGCGCGCGCGGCATTATACTCCTTTCGTTAGGCTAATTGGTGCTCTAGGGTGTGTTCCAGAGATCGTCGAGAAGCGTGAAGACGAGAAGTATGAGCGGCGAACGTTGTTCGGAGAAGCGAGACCGCTGTCTCTCGCGTTGTTGCGATGTTTTTAATTAGAATGTTGAAACCCCGCGCGCGTAATTTCTTTGTGAAATTATGCTCTTTCGGAGAAGGAGAGAGTAATCCTGAGTAACGCTTCGCATGATCTCATTATTCTTCAATAACAATTTTCAATATGCCCGCATATAAATAACTCTCTCTTTTTCTCTCTTATTGAATATAATCACAAAATATCTTTAAAAAAATATATATATAATATATTAGATGAATATTTCACGTATTATTTATATACGCATAACACCATTAACATACTTTTTTTATTAATATATTCTTTCTCGTTTGTTCACAAACTGCAATATTTCAGTTTGAGTTTATTGCAACGCCATTTTCACCGACTGCCTAACATCAATCGTTAAATGAAATTCGCCACTGATAATTTACTGCAGCTTGCAGCTGCAAAAATATCGTTCGACACGTTTCTCGATCGAATAACTCAATACGCGCCTTCGGCGACAACGACAACGGTGCATTGCCTCTCTGTTGCGGTATTTTTTAATTTAGCTGCGACACGTTGAAAACAACGCGGGAACGAGCTGGGTCCCTTTGCTTTCTGAAAGGAAAAAGAAAGCGGCGTAATGCATGCGGTCTTAAGAGGAGGCGCTCTAATTAGAATCGGCGGACTGACAAATCGAGGCGATTATTAAGAGTCGCGCCGGACACGACGAAGCGGACCGCCCACATAACTGTTTTCCTTCCCATTCGCAGTCGCCTTTCGAATTCTTTTCCTTCTTTTTCTTTTACACGTTACCGGTTGCCGCAATCTCGCAGGTTGGGACATTTAAGCCGGTGTTGTACTCCGATTTGCCTTAGCGAACGATAGATTATCGGCCGGAACGAGCGTGGGTTGTTACTTGAGCGACGTTATTACCTTCATTAGTTGACAATCATTTATACCTTTTAGCGGTCGCAAATGGGAGGAATGAATTTTGAAAAAAATAAAACGACATACCTTGTTACAAACGACGTAGCTAATGACGCAACTAGTATTACGAATGTTATTCCCGCGTGGATGGTACCGATTGCGTTATAAATGTACCATATCGGTCGGCCTACGACTGTGCCGATAGTGATACGCGTATACATTTCGAAAACATTCAGAATTTACGAGATAAGAGAAGTCCACACTTGTCCCTGACCGCGCGATGGGCCCTCGGCAAACCTATCAATGCCGAACATGACGTCGTTAAACGAAAATGGTTCCAGTCGCGGTCGAACGTTGCCCGTCCTTATCTAAAAACCGACGACGGGCGTGGGTGTACAAAAAGACACGTGTAAGGGACGAGCTCGGACAAGCGATCTTTCTACAGCTAGTACGACGGCTTTTACGACGGTATTTCATGTACATAAATTGATCTCGATGTAAAACGGTCACACCTTTTACTTAATAATGTTGTTGACAAAATGCCTTGAGACGAAGTGATTTCTTAATGAAATTTTTAGATTATATTTTATTTTTTTGTGAAATAATCTACAAAACTGCTGATGTTTATTTCTAAAAGATCTTGTAAATATAATTTTCTTTGTTTTAATAACAATGTATGCACATAGGAAAATTTAATGGAATATAATATTGAACATCGGACGTGACAGTTTTCAATTTGAAACGTCACATTGCTGTTAATGAACGTCACGTTGTTGTTAATAAACTCTGAATGCTCTTATCAATGCAACATGAGATATTCGCATTCCAGTGTGCATGTTTCATATCACATAACGCATAAATCGCGAACATTTGCCGAAGGCGGAATAAAATTGCGGGAGAACTAATTGACCTCCTAATTAACCCTTCCTCCTGCCAGTGTCCTCAATCATGGGCATACTTTTTCTTCATTTGTGATGCGTAAATATGCAATTTTAACGTCACTGTGCTGCCCCAGTTCACGGATGCATTCTGAATTAATTCAGGTCATTTAATACCGTCCGCGCTTTTCGAACAAAATAATTAATAGGGAAAAGGCATCTTAATTTACTTCAAGGTCGCTAAGGTTTCTCAGTTTTTATCTTATGAGTTTTCTCTTATCTACTTAAAGTTTCGATCTATTTGAAGTTTTTATCTTATCTATTTGAAATTTAGATACATAAAAATCATTATGTTATTAAGAAAAGAGTCAGTTAATTAATTTAAGATTTCGCGCGGAAATAATATAAAACCATTTTCAATCACTTTGTTTAATAATGAAACAGATTTCAGAATTAGTTGGTTTATTAAAAAAAATTTTTTTTAAATGCTTTTGTATATAGGAATAATTTTTTGTACAAGCTTTCGATTTTACTCTCGACGGATAAAGACTTGGTGAGAGATTAATTTCATTATTACCGCCGGGGCGTTACGAGTGTTGCGCGAGTCTTACATTATCCGCGGTAAGTGCGTCCATCAATTACGGGAGTGAGCGTGGCGATAGGTTGAAATATTCCGCGGCGTTTCATTAGACGATTTCCTCGATCGTGTAACCGCCTCTAATCGACCCCTCGGCAAATACATGCGGTGCGCCCGCTTTATAGAGCGAGTTTTCGAGATATAAATTTCACCCGTACGCGCAGTTTCACATTCTGGATTACGTATGGCGCAAAAGTCGGAAACGAGACAATGTATCGCGGAGTGTAATGGGCTGATCAATGATCGAGTTGCCATAAATCTAGATGGATTACAATGTGCGTAGTTACAACGTGTTGTTCTCCCCCCGGGGAAATTTATTTGCAAGATTATTTAAGGCCTTATTTGCGTCGGAATATTTTCGCATAACACATAAAGGATGCGATTATTTCTGTTTGCAATAGACATCTTGATGAATTTGCCAGGATGTGAAACTTACTTTAAGTGTAGGTTTTATAAAGTAACACTTACTTTAAGTGTTACTTTACAAATATCACAGGCTTCATCTCATGGATAGATTGATGGCAGTTACAATACTTACAATAATTTCTTCAATGAGCTTATTGACTCGGATTTGTGATACGTAATAGATAAATCCACCTCTTTTACATAAAAGCTCATTGGATTGAATAAATCCGTATCAGTAGTTAGAATTATTTATCTCTAAATTTGTTATGTCAGCTATTCTTTTTATAATTCCTTATATAATTCATAAATCCTTCTATTCCTTGGCAGTCTACTTAACACAATTGGTATTTATTTAAATGTTAAATAAATAATATCGTTGATATTAATAAGATATCAGCTTTCTGCAAGTGCAGCTATAATTGATCATTATAGTAACTAATATCTCGTGGAAAGTGCGAGAGAGAAAGGGGGGGGGGGCAGACACAAACAAGACAAGAAAATAAAAGAACATTACTTTCGCCCGATATATTTCGCTTTGGCGAACAAAAAGCACGAAATATCTTCGCGACCAAGAT